CATAATATTGTGATAGTCTTTTTTAAGAAGGTGGATTAATAGGCACAGAGAATAAAATCTGAAAAAAGGTCAATGGCAACACAAATGACTCAACAGTTGTCTCAGTCTATTCAGTGGAGCATTTTGGCAGTGGGATCTCAAAGTCCATTAATTTATTCACTTCTCTGGAATAAGACAAGCAATCACCTTTCAAATTAACTCAGTTGGCATGCTTTGGGTATTTGTCCACTGGAAATGTGTCTTTGATCCCTGAGTTTTTGGAGAGAGTTCTCAGTTGCCTCTGCTCTCAGCTGGATTTTAATAGAGCCTCATGAAACAGCAACAGCTCCAGATAAACTCAGTGTGAATTTATTTTGCAAGCTCTGCTGACTTTCTCACTTACCTCTGTTTCTTACCTCATTTTTCCTGCATGGCTTGCTCCCTCAGGCAGTGATGTGCCCAATTGCAAAGTGTTAATATTTGGCTCGTCTTGCTCTCTCATTTCTGGACTATTGCATTCCAGCCTTCCTATTGTCCTGTTTCTTTTAACATCCTCATGTTTCATTAAAACAAACAAAACTCCAATTCTATCTCTTGGAAGCAGCTAAGGTTGCTGTGATGAGTTATGCTAATGACCGAGGGCAGTACAGTAATCTCTGCTTTAGACTCCAGTTTTTCCAGGCTTACATTTACCTCAATGCAGGCAAAAGCTCTCAGCTGTCTAACTAGGTTTCCTGGACTTCTGGCAGTTGTAGAAAAAATATTTAAAAGTCAGTAAATCCTGGAACTCGATATTAGTATTACAAAGGTAGCTATTTGATTTGTTTTTACCAGAAAACTAAACCATCAACACTATTGCAGTGAATGTTCTCCCTATTTACCTCCACCTGCAGCATTTCTCCTCCTCTTCCAAAGGACTGACACTCCCTTTCCCCTTATCTTCTCATCTCTTTCCCTTTTTCATCCTTTTTTTCTGTGTGTTTGAGCCAGACTCTATACAGGTAGATGATTGCTGCTGGTGCTGCTTTTAAGCTCACACAGTTCTCTTTTCTACCTCCTGGTAGTGATCCCTTTTATTTAGCTCAGAGCTATGGTAAGCAGTCAGAAGTAGAATTAGTATCCATTCTGTGCATTGAGAGCCAGAGAAATACCTGCATTTATATAACTGCAACTCTACAGCTCTGTGAGCAGACAATAAACAACAGCTCTTCCTTCCAAATTGTCACAGTTCTGTGAGAAAAGGGAGTCTGGGTACACAGCTGAGCTCAAACAGTAACAAAAAGGTACCAGCTTCCAAATTGTCACAGTTCTGTGAGAAAAGGGAGTCTGGGTACACAGTAACAAAAAGGTACCAACCTATCAGGCAAAATATTTACTCCTGGAAACTTTCCATTGAATCATAGAATGGTTCAGGTTGGAAGGGACCTTTAAAGACCATCTCTTTCCAACCTCTCCCATGGGCAGGGACATCTTCACTAAACCAGATTGCTCAAAGCCCCATCCAAACTGGCCTTGAACATTGCCAGGATGCAGCACCCACAGCTTCTCAGGGCAACCTGTTTCAGTGGCTCACCAGTCTGATTAACATTTCTTCCTTATATCTAGTGTAAATCTACAATAAGGTCTTCCCAGAGCCTTCTCTTCCCCAGGCTGAGCAATCCTGTCTCTCTCAGCCTGTCTCTGTGGCAGAGCTGCTCTGAGTGTTTTTGTAGCCCTCCAGGAGGGGTCTCAGGAGAGCAGAGGGGCAGAATCCCCTCCCTCAACCTGCTGGCCATGCTGCTTTTGCTGCAGCCCAGGATAATGGTTTGGCTTTGTGGGCTACAAGCACATTGCCAGTCATGTCCAGCCTCTCACTGACCTGCACCCCCAACTCCTTCCCTGTAGGACTGCCCTCAATCTCTTCATCCCCCAGAGTGTAGTTGTACCTGGGTTGCCCCAGAATCACCACAGGGTGATTTAATGGAAGCAGATGCAAGTAATGAGGCTGAGGGTAGTTGGTGTCTGTATTTCAGCCTTCGCTGCCCAGGTGGGTGTGCCTGCAGCAGAGTTATCAGAAATACCAGCAGCAGGAAAGGACTGAGTCAGGAACCATCTCTGAAACTTTGTGAAGATTGAGGGAGGTCTCTAGGGACCAGAAAAAGGCTGTTGAATCTTCAGAAAGGCAGGAACAGGAATGAAGAGTTCTTCCCTTCAACTCCTTAGAAGATCACTGAGCAAGAAGTTTTGGAAGCAATTTCCAGTCACAGAAAGGAGAAAGTGATGACTGGGAATAGCCAGAACAGATTTACCAGCACTGAATCACTTCTGACCGACCTGCTTGCTTTCTTTTTTAGAAGACTAGATCTGTGGGTGAGGGTAGGGCAAAGTATTGTCTAGCTTGACAGTACAAACCCTTTTGACTCGGTCTCCAAGAACATCCTTCTATCCAAGCTGGGATGTTTCACTGCGGGTGGAAGGACTACAAGCTGGCTGAAAACTCTCTGGATCTCTGGGCACAGAGTGGTTGTTAATGGCTTGTATTCTGCCTGGAGGCTCATTCCCAGTGGAGGACTGCAGGTGTTTTGCACTGGGACATGCCCTGTTTAAAATCAACCATCCAAAGGCAAAGGTGGAGTGCATGCTCACTGGTTTGCAGATGGTGCCAAACTGGGGCTGCAGTCTGCAGCAGTCCCTGCAGGGCAGGACTGGCACTCGGGGACCTGGACAGGTTGAGGAATGGGCTGACAGGGACCCCATCAAATTCAACAAGGACAAATGCGAAGTCCCCCTCCTGGGATGGCCAAATGCTGGAGCAGGAGGGGACGGCCTGGCAGGACAGCAACTGCTGCTGGGGACCTGGGGCTCCTGGCTGATACTGGGCTCAGTACAAGTCTGTTCCCAGAGCAGCAGCAGAGTATCAGCTCTAAGCCTGTCCTGCCCTTTTTGACACAATGCTTTGCAGTCCTAAGGCTCAGACCATGTCCCATGAAGTCTCAGTGCAGCTGCTGGACTTGGCAGTGGCCCAGCTGAGGTGTGGTCACCCCTGGCCTCCTCACCCCTGGGGGTGCCTGACCATCCATGAAGTCTCAGTGCAGCTGCTGGACTTGGCAGTGGCCCAGCTGAGATGTGGTCACCCCTGGCCTTTGCCACCTCACCCCTGGGGGTGCCTGACCACGGTGAATGCACTGCATAATTGCAGCTCAGTTCTAAACCTCATAGCTTGAACACATTGAGAATTTCAACACAGGCAAACAAATATGGCATGGAGGCTTGGCTACTAGCTTATAGTGGTATAATTGATCTGTTTTTCATGCAAATAACCCCAACAATTGAACTAAAAATAAACAATATTAATTGATGGTTGTTGTCAGGCCTGTGTTTAGCTATTTTCTGTCTGTGCTGGATGGGTAGGCTGTGCTCAATATTCTCTGACTATGAAATCGCAGCAGTAGGTTGTGAAATATGTATGAAATTAAAATTTTGAATGCATAGAGGGCATAAAAGTATGGATGGCTGTGAGGCTCTGCTTTGCAGGACTATGATGTGCATTTCTAAATAGCTGGAAAAGCTCATCAGACCTTGCAAGGACAAGGAGAAAAGAATCCTTAAAGGGCTTTAAAATCTAAGCAAATCTTACTGCCTTCTTTTCCCACTAGTGGATTTCCCCTTACTCTAGGCTGACAGCATTTTAAAAGGAAGAACTTCAAGTTCTCACTTTTAAGTTTCACATCATTGTTTTCATGTTTACATGTTATTTAATTCTACCCCTTGCAAGACTGGTGTGGGCAGGAATGATTCTGAGAAGAGAAAACCTGAAAGGCTTCAAGAAAAGAAGGGTGGGCCAGGTGTCCAGGAATAGTGTTTTTTGGTTTTTTCTTTGTTTGGTTGTTTTGGTTTTTTTTTCCCTGCAAATGCAAACCTCTAGCTGTGAGAATCAAATTTGGTTCAGCTTTTTGTTAATTTGAATGAAATCTGGTTTATGAAAATGGGGCATTTGTCATTGGTCTTGCCTTTCCTGTTGTTCTCCCTTCCTGCATTTTGATTTAGAGTAACAAGATCTGAACTGAGAGAGGCAAATGAAAAGAAAGTTTGGGACTCTAGTTGGGCAGTGGAATTTCTTTGAGATGTATATTACATCTATATACCTCAGTTTTATATTTCTCAATAAAAGAAAATAAAATAACACTGGGTAACCACTGGGATAGCAGTGAACTTGTCTGAGGACTGAATAATAAATCTCATAAGGTACACATGAAGGACAGAGTCATGGTTGATAGTCCACTGTGATGTAATGTTTGTGTGCATGCTGTTTCTAAACGCATTATTAACTGTTTTAGGGGTTTTTGATTGGTTTTGTTTTGAATTTTTTTTTTTTTTTTGGTATATTAATGAAATTTTGATTGGTTTTGTTTTGAATTTTTTTTTTTTTGGTATATGAATGAAACTCTGTACTTTTCCCTAGTTCATCTTTTCCCTGCATTCATCTGTAACAAATGAACAGATGCCTGTATCTCATGGTTGTTACAAGGATATTTACCAAGGCATTTCAGGGCTTTTAAGCCATATTAGGAAAAGGATATACATTGTATTTATAGCCACTTGTATTCATTATAGAAAATAAATATTCATTCTTCAAAGCATGAAAGCGCAGGGCTGCCCTCAGTTCAGTAAAGGCTGTGGTGTGTTGCTTAGCCCAGTTGTCAGGGACTGCTGTCAGATTGGTTAGTTGGGCATTCTTTAAGGGGAAGAAAATTATTCAGCCACCAACACAGTCCTGTTTCCATTAGAAGTTGTAATGTTCTTTATCTGTATTGAATTTCATCTGGGGTTTACATGCAACTTTTTATAACAGGTCAAACCTAGGAAAAGAACCTGAAAGGCTTCACTGGAAGTTAAAGAAGAAAAGTGTCTAATTTTATTCTCTTTAAAGGCATTCAGTTTGACTCCTAAATGTGACCAGAACAAATGTTTTGAGATAGATCTGTATGAAAAGTACTTTTTGTAGCAAAACAAGCTTTAATGTTCTGTGCCTTTTCTTACAGGAAATTAAAATGCATGACTGACAGTGAAACTGTGGCACCTGACTGGCCTTACTACAAAACCATTGATAGGATCTTATCCAAAGTGACAGACCACAGCGATGTGAAAATGCATGAAAATCAGCAGCCAGGTCCTTCTACATCACAGACAGAGGCCTCGCAATCTCCATCAGCCAAGTCCACCCCTCTGTATTTGCCATATAACCAGTTCACATATGAAGGAAGGGAAGAATGCTTTGAAGATGAACATTCAGAGAGCTCATCAAGCTTGCTTTCTTACAAGCTGAGGTAGCATCTATTTTCCCCTCTTTTTAGTATTTTGCAGAATGAACTGAATTTGCTGTGTAAAGGGAACAGCCTCACGCATTTTTCTGTAGCAGCTCCTGTATTTTTTTCTGTAAATCACAAATGAGATCTGTTCCCCAATCTCAATCACTTTGCTGAATTAGGGCATTTTCTTTATTCCTTTATGAAAGACTGGAAGGGAGTAGGAGAACTGGGCAAAAAGTTGTATATTATTGCCAAAACTCAGCATGCATGTCACGGCTCACATCAGGGAGAGTGTTCATAAAAGGAGTACAGGCATGTTCAAGAGAGTCCTGTGGTGCAATCAGAGATACAACATACTGCTTAGATGATTTTTGGCTTGCTCTAGTTCTGCTTTTGATACGAGTATGAAATTTCTCTGGCTTCAGTTATTATTAAAATGGTGAAAAGATGCAAAATAAATATTTCTGTGGACACTGAAAAGCTGCTCATACAGTTTGAAAGTACATTGCATTATTTTAAATATATTTGAGAATGTAATTTTTTTCAAAGTAAATGTTAGTTTGAGATGCAAACATGTGATTCCTTTTTTTTTTTTTTTTTGAATATGATTGGAGTTCCCTGGAAGGCAGCATTTTAACAAAAGGCAGGGTTGTACTCTTGTTACAAATTTCAGACTTTACTGGTCTCATTTTTCATCCAGAGTGGTGTGAAATAAGAGCTGATTACAGTTTTTTGGCAGGAAAAAAGTTGATCCTAGAGATCCTTATCGTGAGTGTGTGAGGCTTTAACTGTAACAGTAAAATTACCTGTCAGTCCTACAACTGTAAAGATGTTGAGTTGGAAGAAGAACCAATTGAGCAAGTTCAAATTATTGTTTCCAGACCCACTCTTGGATGAATAAAACTAAGTTAAATTCATTAAATCATTCAAGCAGATAGTCTTTGAATAACTGTGTATTTCTTAAAACTTTTTTTTTTTTTTTGGCAACAAATTTTTACTAGAGTGCATAACTTTGGAACTATAGCAACCTTTTTGTTCACAAGCAACAATTTTTTTTCATCCTAGTCCATTGTAGTTGATATTCCTGATACACAAACTTGCTTGACTTTAGGATTTGTAAACTCCACAGTCACATTTCAGATGCAATAACTTTATTCCCAATTGGATTTACAATAACATTATTTAATATTTAATTAGAAGGTCACATTTCCACAAACATTGTGGAGTTTATTCACTTGACTACTTTATAACATCAGGTTTTTTAAAAATATTGGAAGTTAAGTTTTTTCAGCTTAGGGGCGACTCCAGGGCAGCACAGATTTTGTACCATAAGAGGACAGAGGTTGCCACACCAGGCTTTACTACAGAACATAGACATTCCTCACAGAGATCAAGTTAATCAACCCCAAACCCACATCTGTTGTGCCCACAGTTTGCAGGTGGACTCTCATGTAGGGGCTTTCATTTACAGCTAAAATGGACTTAAATCAGTCACTAAATTATAAGCTCTGGAAAATTTAGGCTATGATGCATTTTTGCCAGCTTCAGGTTCACTGGTTTGTTTATTTATTTATAATTTTATCCAAGGAAATACCCTAACCTGTTCTAGTAAAAAGTATTTTAACATTATTTGGCTAAATTTAGAAACTGCATCTCATTTAAATGCAGGTCCTGGTGGCACAGGCTGGCTCTCAGCTGGCGAGTCTGGGGCAGGTAATGCCACTCAGCCCTTGCCATGCTGCTCCTGCCTGCCAGGAGTGGCTGCCCTGGCTGGCTCAGGAGGGTCTGGGAGCTGCAGGGGAGGGCAGGGCAGCTCTCAGTTATTATTAGCTATTAGTTATTATACATCAGCTCTCAGGATGGCAGGGCCTCCAGAACTTAGGAATTCAGCCATGCTCCTGCAGTCTCCACGATGAGAGAATTTTGCGCCATGGAATATTGTCCATGTCATTTAGCAGCAAGATGGTTACGTAGTCGCAAGTTGAAATACAGGTCCCCCCTGTTTTAAAAGAAAAGAAGTTGAGCAGTAGATACCACATGAGAGATCAGTGTAATATTACAGGTGAACATCATGATTGGATTAAAAATTAGAAACCACTTGTGGTAATGTGTCTGGAAGGAGAAAAAAGGTATTCCAATAGTCCTAGGGGGTTTGAAAAGCTTGTCCAGCTTTGACCTGTTTAATTTAGGCTGATGACTGAGAGCAGAGTAGGGAACCCTTTCTTGGCCAGAAGAAAATGCCTTGCTTGCTAGTGACACCACATGGGTTAAAATCACTTAGATCTGCCATGGTTAGACAAGGAAGTTAATTACTTTAGAGTTACTAATGGAAAAATATGACCTGAGGAAGCAATTTATAGCTTAAGCAATTAGTGTCTCATCCTGTATTTGAAAAACACTTTGAAATAGCCAACAAGAGAGGAAAGAATTACCATTAAAAATTTGGGTCTATCTTGGCTATTTTATCAATGCCCTTGCCTCTGAACAGTAGACAATTTATCCAACAGATTAAAAAAAAGAATAAAAGACAATTCTGGGAATTAAAATCAAAAGAATGTTTTAGGTCCTCAGTTTTCTTATTTTGAAAAACACACACTCATGTCTATATGAAAATACAGATGTGTTTTGCAGCTGTATATTTTATAACTTACATTACGGGATTTTTTATTCAGTAATAAAATCCTAATGTTATGGCAACAATTGATAGAGAAGAAAACTTTTAAACAGTAGTTCTTTCTAAATAAGTTTTAAACTTCTGAAAACTTTTCTGTTATTCCTTTAAACTCACCAACACAGCTTTGGAGTGTCAGCTTTGTGTTTTTCACAGTATCTTTGAACATAGCAGGAGTCTACTTGGCTATACAAATTATAGCTTAAAAAAAAATCAATTGAATGTTTAGCTTTCATCATAGAAAAAAATGTCAAGTTTTATACTTCAATCAGTACATACATATTGTCAATTTAAAAATAGTTGAAACTGGTTTTCTTTGCATTCTGTTTGAAAAACTTTGAGTTCAGGACCTTCTTACAAAAGCCAAATTTTGATGGTTAGTGATAACACAATTAATGTGAGATAAAATTAACTTGAATTTTTGTTTCAGTTGTGTAGATGAGGAAAACATTTGGAATCCTTTTTAAAGGGGTGCCTGTAATTGCTTAGTATTGTTCTAACAGTGCTCTGACACTGTTCTACAGTACAAAACATCTGACAATAATAGAATTATTCTATTATGGTCATAAAATATAATGCAATGTGGTGGAGTCTTGTACTGCAGCTTAAACTTTTAAAATCCAAATTCCTGACACCACTATAAATGACTTTTTATCTAATTGAAAACAGTGTTTTTTCACTCTGTGAATTAATTTATGGTCTTTGTTTCCATAGTAAAATAATGACAGAACATATTTATACAGGCTGTGAATGTAGTTCAGATTCATGTGTTCTGCCATTTCTATTGTACTGAAAATGGGGGTGAAAGAGTTACTTTCATAGGTTAAAAGACCTTAATAAAACCACTGTGTTGTCTAGTCTGACTTCTTGTTAGATAGCATTTTTGAATGTGGTCATTCTGCTCTGGAGTGCAGAAATGTTATTGGGAGGATTCTGTGACACCCTTCCCTCAGCAGGCACTCCTGCACCCAGGAGCCCCCTGTCTCTGCTGTCCTCCACTTCGTTGTTTCTATGATTTGTTTCACTCTGGGAAATACTGAATGTCTGGTCTAGACCTGATAAATACAGAAGATGGAGAATTCACTCTTCCCTTCTTTCTAGTGATTAGCAAACCCTCGTTTAAACCAGTCCCTTGTTTCTAATGTGAATTTAGTGAATGAAACTTTCAGATGTTACTTCTGCTTACCTTTCTTTTCAGTATGTTGGAGAACCTTTCAGTACTTTTTGTTTTCTGGCAAGGTGGTTGTGTGCCATGATTATACTGTTTGGTTTTTTTTAAATTTTTAAATGTAGATGAATTAATTTGCTGCAGAATGTTTACACAGGAAGAAAAAGTAAGAACTGGTAACATTAACTAGCCAAGATATGGATTAAAAGAAGTGCATTAAAACTTGGTGATGATGCTAATTTGGGAAACAACATCTTTGGCAATGACTTTACTATTTCTAAAATTATGCTATGGCTTTTTAAATCTGAATGGGCATAATCTACAAAGAACTTTGAGCTTTAGGCTATGTGCATTATGTAGTGCATCTTAACTCATTATGCAGACTTGTTATCCTAGCAAGGTGCTTTGCCCAGGCTCCAAGCCATTTGTGGTTCTTTTCTGTGCTTTACTTCAAGGATGAGTCTCATTAATTCCTGAATGCATTTGAATGACTGAATGAGCTTAGTTTACCAGAAGATTCAGGTTCATCCTCAGTCCTTATGCTCTGAAATCTTTATATCATCTCTTAATATTAATATTGATTATATCCAGACCATTGTTAATTTTTAAAATATAGACATAGAGTATGGAGGTCTGCTCGGATTTGTATGGAGCTGAAAAAACCCAAACCAGTGAGAAACAGCTTTTAGGTGTTAAAAACCATAAATTCCAAGAACTGATGGTACTGGAGACCTGTTTGCCATGAAGTAGTCAGAAATGAGGAATTGCTGTTAGGGTTTTGTGACAATAATACATTTTGATAAACAGAGAACTCTTTGTATTCAACTCCTGCTTCGTTAATTATTCACACATGTCCCTGAAACAAGCTGTATTGGATAAGTGTAAGCAATCAGTCAAGGAAATTTTAATTGAACAATGAATTAAATCGGTATTAGATAGGCAGACAGCAAATACATTTGAGACTTGCCTAATACGTTGCCTGATTGTATCTGGAGGTTTTGCATTGTTCCCCCTCATGTCCATTGCACACAGTCATTTCTGCTCAGTCTCCTAGGTGAGAGGGAACAATTTCTTTCCCTTGGTTTGCTTCCTTGGAACCCTCCCTGTCTGTTTTAGAGCATAGCAGGGAAATAGCTTTGTGAGGTTCTGTTTGGAATATGGTCCCAGTGCCAGAGCCCTTCCACGCTTGGTCCATGTTGTCAGAGGAATTACCGATGCCAATCTCTTGTATACTCTGCCATAGGCACTGGAAGCCCAGCAGAAGAGTACCAGCAGATTGTATTTGAGGTCCGTACTTCCCCAGGCCCTTCTTTCATGAGATTTCCCTCAAAATCTACCTCCAGAGACTGGGCTTGGCAAAGGAGTTGCTCCTTCAGCAGCTTGTGGATGCTGTCAGGATCTGCTGCACCCCTGTTGTCACAGAGGTGTTGGCTGCACATGGAGAACGGGCATCAGGAGCTGATTGATGCTACAGCCATCATCAGTAGTTGCTTATTCTTGTGCCCATACAATGGCAAAGGAGAGATGCTCCTAGCTAGAACTGTTTGAGGATACTGGTGCTGCTTGGGTTACTTGGTGCTGAACCCATATTCCTGCTTCTCTCTTGAATTTGTTATAAAAAATTACTGACAGAGAGGGGTCTCTGACATGCTGCCCAGGACACCTAGAACTTCTCAAGAAAGATGGCTCAGAATCTGAGGAAACACTTCAGTATTCAAATAACTCATCACTGGATGGGCATCACTGGACATTTTACATTGTTTCATGTTGCAAGTGCTCTTTGCTTGTAAATTAGATTCTTTAGAGCCTTCTTTTGTTGGGCCCTTCTCAAGAGCTCCCTTTCAGCAGCAATTCTGCAAGAGGAAAGGATTGTAAGTGCCAGTTCCTTACTGTGAACTTGTGAGTGACCATAGAACCCTTTCAGTATCAGTCAGTGGAGAGAAAAGGAGATTGGGACCATCACCAAAGCTAGGGCTTTCTGAGAATTTCTGAAATAAGTATTTCTTTTTAATGAAGGTCCAATTACCAAGTTGTGTTTGTTACTGTAAACAAATGTAGGGAGTACTTGGGAGACCTTGAAAAATCCTGGGGTCATTGCTTTTGGAGGAACTTCTCTGTGCTAAAACACAGTTCTGAATAGCATTCTTCAGTGAGTACTTTTTTAGTTATTAGCAGACTGCAGATCCTGCTGACACAGTAAAAATTTGCTGCTCCTTTCTCTCTGGAGCTGTGCAAGACACTGTCTTGGATGTATGGTTTCATGTCTTACAGTTCTTTGATGGATTTAACTGAAAAACAGGTAAAATCCTTTACAGACTCTAGGAAGACACTTCAAAGATTCTTTTCTCTTAAAAATAAGGCTTATTTTAGATCTTTCAGTCTAAATCACTCCACCTTAGTTTTTTATGTTTTTGTTGTTGTTGTTGTCTCAGTTGAAATTGAAATCCAAATGGTGGTTACCAAGTAATACACACAATTCTCAGTGCATCTCAGTACCATTGACAAGCCTCAGATTTTCTCTCTCATTCCTTGTTAAGGACCATTCTCACCAGTGTTTATGTTGACAACACACAAGCCCTCTTGTGGAGTGAGTTTGTACTGGCTTCAAGACAGGAGGTCTTACCACAGCTACTTTCTAACACTGTGTGGTGAAGATAATAGAGATTCATCAAGTTTCCAGCATCTAAATCCTCTGTCAAGACAAGTTTAAATTCAAAAGGTGACTTTGGCTAAAATAATATCACCATTTCAGAAAGTTTCTTGCTCTGCCTACCAGAAACCATGCATTCTTTGTGAATGTGACTACAGTGATGGGAACCTTGGAATAACAGATTCAGTGCTGTCCTTAGACTGCTGTAGATCTTTTCCACTTGCTTGACCTCTTTGAGAACCACATTAAAGTAATTCTGACCCTTAGAGTTAAGGGAGACAAACAGAATTTAGTGTTAGCCAAGACCCATTCTCACAGGATTGTAAAACTGATAATTTCAGTGATCAGCAGCGAGCTTGACCCACAGTTTGAGCAGGCCCACAGTTTGAGCAGAGCAGCATGTATTTATTTTATTCATGTTTATTTGATGCCTCAAATCAAATATGCTATATAGAACCTGCAAATCTTAGTTTATTGTATACCTTCCAAAGTAGGTAGTATCTCACCCTTTTTGGGTCACTGCACTCTTAAATGTCAAGGGGCTTGTGTCTTTTTCTTATATTTGCATTAAGCCTTTCAGGGGCTAAGGATTGTTTATCTCTCCTGCTGACAGATCTGAATGTCACAGTCGCTGCTGCACAAAGCCTGTCAAGTAGGATAAGAACATGAATCAAATTATGATACAAATCTGCCACAGCTGAGTGACCTCACCCCCACTACCCTTCTTCACATTAATAAAAACACATTCTTCAAGAGTTCAAGGTATCTTTATTCAAGGATGCCTTAAAATCTGCAGCATGTTGACATGGCATTCTAGTCCCAACTGTACTATCACATCATTGCATTTCACCTAGAAAGGACACTGCATTTGGCAGAACAAGACTGAGATTGCTGTTTGTGTCAAGGGATTTCAAGGCACATCAAATATCTTTGATGTTGGGGACTCCAGTCTGGAGTTACAAAAAGTGTAAATGAAGACATGGTCTCTCACTTAAAGTTAGGAAAGGAGTTATCCAGCTCTAACTGGAGGTTTCTCAGATGTGTAGTACACTTACACATGTGCCTTCTACTTGCCTTTCTTCCTCTTTCACAGTTTAGCATGATTCCTTCTTAGCTGCAGGTTAAGAGACACAGGTCTGTGTGTGTGTTCTCACTTGCATGCCACATGGGCTGGTTTTGACTGTGTGGCTCTGTCACCCCAAGTTAGAACAGCCATTTAGCCTTTACATATTGAGAGCACTGTCTTTATTGTCAGGTTAATCTCTCTTCCAAATCAGAAACCCAGCATGATAAAGCATAGAGGAAATTCTTAAAATGTTCCCCAAATTCCACACGGCAGCTCTGCATATTTCAGATGAGGATGTCCATTGCCCTTCTCTGGACATGCTCCAGCCCCTCAATGTTTTACTTGTTGTGAGGGACCAAAAATTGGACACAGGACTGGAGGTGTGGCCTCACCAGTGCTGACTACAGGGTGACAGTCACTGCCCTGGTCCTGCTGGCCACGTATTGCTGATCCAGGCCAGGTGCCTTTGGCTTTCTTGGCCACCTGGGCACACCTGGCTCATGGTCAGCCACTGTCAACCAGAACCCCCAGGTATTTTTCTGTCTTTTCAGGCTTTTATGTTGTTCATAATGTTTTGTGGTGGAATATAAAAAAAAGAGTGGTCAGTGCTACTGCTGTGTCTTGGCACAAGGGCAAATTCCGAGACTCATATTCTGGAGTGGGACCAGCCTTACTGATGCAATGCTGTAAAAAACAAGCTGTAAGATACCACCACATGTAGCCATGCAGCACTTTCTCTGGATTGGGATGGTTATTGCAGCTTTAAAATTGGATTTTCAATGGGCCACATAAGCCAAATGTCTCTCTCAGTACAGTGTATAAATTCAATGTGTAAGACATGTCAAGATTAAAAAAAAATAAAAGTCTGGTATTCTGGAAAATTCTTATTAGAACAACGAGATGTAAAATCTCTCTCTCTTTTTTTCTCTCTCTTTTTTTTTTTTTTTTTTTACAATCTGTAGCACTATGCAATAATACATTAAATACTTATGTTTTGGCACAAACTTGAGAGGGAATTTATTGGAGAACACAGGGTTTAAAAATATGCTTAGGTTGTAGCTTGGCCAAGAATATGCTATCGAATTTTGCGTTCTTTCTTTTTATAAATATAACTCTAATTTCTAACAAATATTCACATTTCAGAGCTGAAGAAAGACCAGTTAAGAAAAGAAAAATGCAAAACTGCAGTTTCCAAAAGAAGAAGCTAAAATTAATGGAAGCCATGTTGGAAGAACAAAAGAAGTTGAGTAGAGCTATGGAAGAAACCTGTAGAGAAGTGCGCAGGATCCTGGATCAGCAGAACATCATTCAAGTTCAAAGCTTACAGTTACAGGAGAGAATGATGAATCTACTGGAGAAAATGATCTCCAAGTCTAATGTGTAGTTTCCTTTGTGAATGCCTCTGAGATTACTATTGCTATTATAGATAACCATTTATTACACACCATATGTGTGTCTGTTGCCCTATTCCCAGGTTTTCCATGGAAATTAAAACCCTAGTGTAATCCTAGTTCAGCAAAGAAAACATAATGCAGGGTGAGAGCTATCCAGTATGATAAAATTAGTGCAATATATGCCTAAATTGAATTATTTTTATACAGAAAGGTTAAGGGATAAATAGCTCTGGGAACTGAAGTACTATTTATGCCTAAGTCAGGTATTGTTTTGCAAGCAGTGGTGCTGTATATTGCTTCACATCAAGGACTGCAGCTTAATCTGTTTTAGGAGAATGAAATAGTGCATTTCTAAACATGGTTATTGCACTTTGACTTTGCTGATGATTAAACCCTGTTTTGAAACATATGCCTGATTGTATAAGTGACCTATGGTTCTTGTGAAGAGCTAGTTGGGACCATGAGCTACATAATTTTAAACTCTATGCCTGATATGAATAGTACTCTAAAGTATGAGGGTAAAAATAGTCTATTCAAATACATTTTTTGATATAAAAACAAAAGCCCCAAACCACCTTCCTATATACTGAATATTAAAATGTATAGAAGATACTTGAAGTTGCTTTTGATATTAAACGTTTAAATTTTTTTCATTATTAACTGGAATCTGTTGACTTAACAAACAACCAGCAATGAAAACTTTCATTTATTCTCTATCACAAAAGAAAAGTATTGTACTGTGTGTATATACATATATATAATGTCTATCAAATGAAATAAAGAAAAAGAAGAAACTTACTGCTTACTGCTGGGCAGAAATAATGCTTTGGGACAGCAAGGGGTACTGGGAATGATAAGCGCAGTGAGAGGGTCACAGTCACCGATGGCAGGGTGAGGATCCGCGGTGCTGATGCCCAGGCGGACAGGGATGCTCCACACGAGGGAGCCGCAGGCACGGAGGATTGGACCCAGGGAGCTGAGGCGCAGCGCCAGCTCGAGATGGCTCCTCCATGAAACATTTAAATGATCTTTCACTTAAATTCGAAAATTGGCCGCCAGAATTTCCTATATGCCTTTTTCTTTTGTGTTCTCCTTAAAAAAACACCATATTTCTGCCTGTTTTACTGTACAGGCAAGAGCAAAGGTTGGATTCCAATATAGAAACTGAAGAATTAGTACAAGGAACTCAGGCCATTTTCCATTCTCACTATTGAATAATGTCCCCTCTTAAAACACTGTCTTTGAAGGTATTTGCATTCTCCTATATAATTTAATATGTTGTTGCCTAAAGGTGAGCTAAAATATTTTAAATCCCTGACACAACAAATTAATCTCTAATTATGCTTGCTGAACAGGATGAAGGTTATACTCACCAAGCAAATTAATAATATGTGGAAATATTTCTCAGAAGGTCCTCCAGGTATGAAGATTAAAAGTTATTAAATATCTAAATGTGGCCCATTCCTACTGATTTTAATTAATGATAACAGGATAAAGCAAATGTAGTAGAAGGCTGAACTTGGAGAAAATGGTAGCTGCTGAAATATAAACAAAGTAACTGTCCCTCACCGCATCTTTACTACAGTGATTGCAAGATTGGAAAAATGCCAAGTTTCTTTTCTGATTCTGCAAAGATAGTTTTCACATTTCAGATGTAGATCTGTCACGCATTCAGGTAGGCTACGTATTCAGTGCCTCCTGACACTTTAACTTGTTTACAGCAAGATATAAAGAAATTCTCCCCTGACTCCACAGGAATTAATAGTATTTAATCTTACTATCTACTTGAATCATATAGCAATTAAATCCAATTAATGAGCAGTAACAATGGCAGCGCAGCTGAACCTTGTACTGTAGAGTAGGTAGCCCCCCTCCTTCCCTGTTATTACAGCTCCAGATCTGTAGGAACACAAGAATGGAGAAAATCTTATTCCTTGCCTGCTACCACGAGGAACCATGTCATATAATCCCTTTTGTAAATGTATGAACCTGTATCTTAAAATAAGTTAGGGGTTTTGTCCCCAGAATTATATGAAGACCTGCATTACAGACAGGTAAATGCAGTTTATAAAATTGCTTCTAGGATTTTTCTTGATTAATTTATACCAATTTTCTTCTTGTATCAACTCTGATTATATTGCTTTATATAGCATTTACTCTTGAGAGCTAGAGGTCATGCCCCATGCAACCCTTCTTCTGATGGATAATGCCCTTTTATAAGGTAGGATTTTGATGACTGTTTTGCTAATTTTGCTCTTTTGAGTTCATCTATTTTAAAGGTGAGTGATCAGAATGACACACAGCATTCCAGATGAGACTCCAAACATTGTCTTACATAACTGCTTTAAAGGAAATGGTGTTTTCTGGTGGTTCTGAGATTTTTTTCTATATAAAACATCACTTTTAGTAGTTACATGTAGAAGTTAAAGTTTTAAATCCTCACCTCTTTAACAAAAGACTTTATTCCCATCCATGCAGATTACCCATGTTCTAGCCCTGTTTTTGCCTAGAGTGAACACAGCAAAGCTTTAGACAAATATTACAAGTTTTATGTATGACAACTTTTCTAATGCTTTTTTGACAAGCTGAAAATTCCCCACCTACCCATAGTCTCCTTTTGCTGCTGTTTCTTTTGTTTCTGTAGAGACTGAAGGTTTACTTGAAAAAACAGGTTGAGTGTTTTTTGAGGGGATTTTTTTTAAGGTAGTCACAGTCTTTTCATCTGCATGGGACAGTTAGCTGCAGGTACAGATATTTGAATGTTTGTGATATCCAGACAAAATGTAACTTGAAAGACCTGCCTATAATTAAAATTCTTGGTAGAATTCCTGGTTTTGTAAAACAGACACAGACACTGCTGCTGTCTCTGTATGAGTAGGGAGCTGAGTATAATAAGTATTCAAGGGGAGCACATGAGGATTTACCCAAGTTTATAATTTTAACTATGACATTAAAGGAACTCCCTCATGGCTTCCACAAGTGTGATCAACAAAGAAACTGTAGCATAGGAAAACAAATTTCTTATTTTCAGGGCAGTAACGGGGTCAACTCAGTTTGATATCACTTTCGCCAAATGAAGTGCTTGTATTACGTGTACACACACAGATGGTCCAAATGGAAAACAATTAAATAGGGGAGGAAATACACTGCCTGGAGGCAGGTGACTTTGTAAGTGATGTGACAATAAAGGAAAAGGAACCTGAGGAGGCAGATGAGAAAATGAGACGCTGAGAAACATGGAGACAATTGAGAAGCAGATTTTGATGAAAGTTGGGAAAGAATATGTTGGACAAAAGGGCAATGTAAATGCCTCCAAAAAAATCCCAGTAATGACAGGGATGAGGGAACACAACACTTTAGGAAGTGAAAATTAAAGAAAAAACATAAAGCTGAAGGAGAAAACTTTGAGTATGAAAAGTAATGCTAGTGAAATTCTGTATATTTTGAATAGAGAGCCCCTACAGGTAACTTAAACAAGTTACAAACAGTGTAGAGCAAGGAGTGACAGCTCTTCCCACCAGAGGAAAATAAGGCTTTGAACAAACATTTGGAATCAAGGCTATTTTTCACAGAGGAGTGAGGTTAAGTAATTTGTAGGAGGATCCTGTAACAATAATTTCTCATGCTGGTATTAAAAATTTGCTGGGTAAAAATGTTAGTAAATTTTTTAAAATTTATTTTTACTCCTTGACTTCAAACTGGAGAAACATTTTAAACCTTCAGTTTATTTCAGGCCCTGCCAAGTTTAACAGTTATCCACCAGACCAGGAGATAAATTTATGGATGGGGTATGTCTTTTATCATATTCTCCATAAAATGCTCTCTCTTTCAAAGAAAAAAGACCCAGATGTATACAGGATTTTTTTTTCCCCACAGACTTAGCCTGCCCAAATTGGTGTAGGCAAATTGTTTATAACTGTAGACTTACCCCAAGCTGACAGCCTGGTTCTGTGAACAGTCTCCTGTTCTAAAGTCAATGGGACTACACAAATGAATAAATATATTGAAATCTTTATGTATATGTTTGCAAGATCAGTTCCTATGCTGATAATGTAATGTGAAAGACAAATTTAAAAAAGAAATTTAGGAACATTTGGTGGTGTTATGTCAGCAAGTAAATACTAACCATCTGGTCTCTAGATTGCTAATCTATTTCCCCTGATTTTATGGTAGCATGCTTCCTGTGTCTGCAAGCTTGAGACTACATCATTAAACTTTTGTGTTGATCTTTTTTAGTGTTTTAACAGAAACACTTGAAATACTTTGCCATTTTGGGTGCTAATTTTTCTTCCTATGCAGATTTTTCCTGGCTGGAAATTTTTCATTCTGTTACAGCTTATTTTAAGGTATTTATTGGACCACATTTCTAATAAGGATGAATAATTTCAGGTATGTTCTTTAAAAAGCAGACCAGTCATCCACAGTGAATGACATTCACTTATGCAGAGCTGACTAATTGCTTCCTGTAGATAGGCTGTAAGATCTGTTTGATCCTAGTATCACACAGTACCAGGTTGAAAGGAGCCTGGTCCAGCCTTTCTTGGCTTTTCTGCAGCAGGGGCACCCTGGTCACTGACACTGAGCTTGCTGTCTACCAGGACCCTCAGGTCCCTCTGGCTGACAAATCCTCACCTGTGCTGCACTCCTGAATTGTATTTCCCAGGTGCAAATTCTTGTCCTTGTGGAACTTCATAAAGTTCTTGGCGGCCCACTCTTCCAGCCTATCCAGGTCTTCCTGCAGGGTGGCTCTCCCTCCCAAAGTGTCCACTTTCCCCCTCAGCTTGGTATTATCAGCAAACTTCATCAGGATATACCTGATCCCATCCAGATCACTTATGAAGATATTAAACAGATGTGGGCCCAATATTGGTTCCTGAAGGACTCCACTTGTCACAGGCTGCCAGTTTGAAAAGGAGTTATTTCCCACCATCCTCTGGCTGTGTCTGGCTAGCCAGTTCCCCATCCACTGCATGGACCAGTTGTCTAGACCCTAATGCATCCACTAGTTTGGGAGGAGTCTCTGGGAAAATATACTCAAAGTTTTGGAGACAATGTTCATTGCTCACCCCACATCAACTGAGCAGGTCCTTGTGTTGTCAGGTGATCAGGTTTGTCAAGCATGACTTGCCTTTGGTGAATCCCTGCTGGCTTTTCCCGGTCATGTGCTTTATTTGACTTGTGAGAATCCCCAGGAGAATTTGTTCCCCAACTTTCCCAGGGAATGGAGTAAAACTGACAGGCCTGTAATTTCCTGGATCCCCCTTTAAGCCCTTCTTGTACATGGGCTGACATTAGCCTTCTTCCAGTCTTCTGGGATGTCCCCTGATATCAACAACTTCTCCAAGATTATGGACAGCATCCTTGCAATGACATCAAACAGCTCTGTTAAAACCCTTGGATGGGTAACATCAGGACCCATCAGTTTGTAGGGATCAGGCTCCTGTGACAACTCACAGACAAGCTCTTCTTTCACTGACAGTTGTTTCGGTGCTTTTGTCAGTGTATCTACAAACCTGGATTTTTAATTCTGGGACCTGTGTCCCAAGATGAAGACAGAGGTTAAGAATGTGTTGGGAATCTCTGCCTTTTCAACATTATGGGTGACCAGCTCACCTCTGCTGCTGAACAGTGGGCCAGTAGTTCCTTCTTTTTGTTGGTCGTGTACCTAAAGAACCCTTTCTCGTGTTTTTGACCTCTCTGGCCAATTTCAGTTGAGCTGAGCTTTTGCTTTTCACAGCGTCTGCTCACCCTGGCAATGCCCTTGTAGTTCTCCATGGGTTTTCCATCTCTGGTACGCTTCTCTTTCAGTGTTGAGCAGACCCAAAAGCTCACATTTAAGCCTAGGGAGTCTCTTATTCCACCTACTTTCCTTACCTTTAGAGAGCATGAACTGGTTTTGTGCTTCCAGGAGAGTGTCCTTGAAAAACTGACAGCACTCACAAGTTCCTTCATCTTCCATGGAAGCCTCCCAGGGAATCTGTCCCAGCTGGGCTTGGAGTAAGCTAAATATCTTGACTGCATGTTGTTACCTTAGGGGTAAGCTCTGGATTGCTATGTATTGCAAGAAAAAAAAAGAATTGGTACATATGATTTAAAGGTATAAAATTTCCAACAGACTGAAATGTTGAGAAGCACTTATCACAGCTTGAGGAGGGCTTGTTTCACTGAGGGGAAACTATAGGAATATCAATTTTCTATGAACTGCAAAGTAAACATATTTAGAAAATTAATTAAAATTACTTTAAAAAACTCTCCATGATTCTTGTTCTTCTCCCTAGAGGTTTAACTATAATTTATCTTTAATTCAATATAATCAGATCAAATGCAATCTCTTTTATGAATGCATAAAACCTTGCCCACATGAACGTATGTTAACTATAATGCCTATGCTTTCTTTAAACTTACATGAATAAGATTTTCTTTCTTTCCTTTT